CAAACTGGGTCCGGACAGCAAGATCCCGAGTCCCGGTCAGATTCGCAACGCGGCTACTTTCCGCAGGACGTATAGTTCGAATTCGATCAAGGTCCGGAATGTGGAGGTTGGCCCTAGCAGTTTTGACAAGATCAAGCTGATCGGCAAGGGAGATGTAGGCAAGGTCTACCTTGTTCGTGAGAAGAAGTCGAGTCGCTTGTATGCGATGAAAGGTAAAACCCCCGCGATTCTGCCATTCATGCAATGTCATCCAATTGATGGCTTTGGACTTACTGGAAAACATAAACTAATGTGCCCGAATAGTTTTGAGTAAAAAGGAGATGATCAAGAGAAACAAGATCAAGCGCGCACTGGCCGAGCAGGAAATTCTTGCTACGAGCAACCATCCGTTCATTGTGACTCTGTACCACTCTTTCCAGTCTGAGGACTACCTCTACCTGTGTATGGAGTACTGCAGCGGCGGTGAATTCTTTCGAGGTGTGCAACCCAGTGCAATTGTCCCAGAGCGTATTACTGATCACATACTGCGCAGCACTTCAAACACGCCCAGGAAAGTGTATATCGGAGGATGCCGCCCGTTTCTATGCAGCAGAAGTCACTGCTGCTCTAGAATACCTCCATCTCATGGGATTCATCTACCGCGATTTGAAGCCAGAAAGTATGTCATTTTCCCGAAACGTAATCCAATATCAGTGATCGCTCCTTACTAATGATGGTATCTTGGTAGACATTCTTCTGCACCAGTCTGGCCACATCATGCTGTCAGACTTCGATCTTTCCAAACAATCTGGACCAGGCGGGGCCCCTACTATGATTCCTGCGCGCAGCGGCAACTCCGCCACGTCGTTACCCACCATTGACACCAAGTCATGTATTGCCGACTTCAGAACAAACTCTTTTGTTGGCACTGAAGAGTACATTGCCCCGGAGGTCATCAAGGGTTGCGGACATACCAGCGCGGTGGATTGGTGGACTCTGGGCATCTTGATCTACGAGATGCTTTACGGGACCACGCCGTTCAAGGGCAAGAATAGGAATGCAACGTTTGGGAACATCCTGAGGGACGAAGTGCAATTTCCAGAGCATGCGGGAGTGCAGCAGATCTCGAAGTAAGCCTGCCGTCAAGTGAAGTCTTACCTCGTTCGTCTAAACTAACAGTTTCATCTACAGTTTATGCAAGTCCCTGATCCGCAAGTTGCTGATCAAGGATGAAACAAAGCGTCTTGGCGCTCGAGCTGGAGCGTCGGATGTCAAGACTCATCCTTTCTTCCGGCAGACGCAATGGGCGCTCATCCGCCATATGAAACCGCCGATGATTCCACACCAGAGTCGCGGAACGGACACGGCGAATTTCCGCAATGTCAAGGAGAGCGCCAGTGTCGAAATCGGCGGGACTTCGAAGTCCAAGGGCGTCCCTCTAGAATCGGGCCTTGCCACGCCCAACGGAGAGGTGGCCGATCCTTTCGAGGAGTTCAATAGTGTTACGCTTCATCATGACGGAGACTTTTAGCTGGTTGATCCACGAGCTCGCAACGACAAATATATGCTTTTTTTCTGCTCCTTTGCGACAAACCGCCTGAGCGGCGCTTTCAGACCTCTGATGTGAGGTTACTTTCATGATCATGACGGCATGAAGATCTGTGTTCGAACGTTCATATTATGTTGCACCTATTAACTTGGAGTTTGGCGTGTCTAGAGCTACCCCGTTGGCTTTTATTCTTACATTCTGCTTTGCTCAAGGTGATTGTGGACTTTCGTTTCTCTAGGACAGTGCGAATTTTGTCTTCGGACTTTCTATGCTTTGCGGGTGATTTTCGGCTTTTTCATATTCTTTTCGATTCCAGGATGCGACAGTTTCATCTTCCCTTTCCATTACTGTCACTATTGCAGAAGACGGCGTTTTTTGATTTCGGTTATATTAGCGGACCAGTTCTGATCCATCCCGTCATTGGAGGTCAGCGTCGAGTGTACTAATTACTCGGGCGTGGATTGTTCGACTATTTTGTGTTCATGTATCTGTTGTTCCCTGCAAAAACGAATGTTGCGGTCCGTAAGAGGAGCTGGCCTGGCCTCGGGACATGGAGTACTCAAGCGGTCACTGAATGGATTCTAGCATTTTGATTTTCAGAGAATTAATGGCAATAGAAGTCTATGTAGAATATCTGAGATCCATATTGGAGATTATAAATTAAATACTACGCGGTAGCATGCCGTGGTGTTTCCCTGAATGACTTGGGTGATCTAATTCAAAGAAAACCCGCCACGCGACCCAAAGACCCAAACAAACAATCCTACCCAAGTCAACAAATCGAGAGCAAACCACCTCATCACCTCATCGAAATCTAGACATCAACAACTGGAAATCAGAACATCGAACAAACCGAATCCCAACATCAGCTCCTTACCGGCCAGGACCACCAATCCCTCGCAAGTCGCAATGTCCTCCTTCGACGAAGACCCCGCCTCCGCCGCCAGCCGCGAATGCGCTCCCTCCTCCCCAATAACAACCGAAAACCCTCTCCTGCGCGCCTCGAACCCCCTCGTCTCGGATCTCGAGCAGGAAGTCCTGGACGAGTATACCCGGCTCCTGGGGAACGTGAACAAGGTACGGTACACACTCGCGCCTACGCCTACCCCTCGTCCCCGTGCACGAACCCCCACCAGCTAGCTACATTGTACAAGTCTGAACGGGTGATGCTAACGATGATGAGGGGATAGTTATCGGATAAACTGGCCGGGCTGGCGGGGGATCCGACCTCGTTGACGCTTGATGGGTTGAGACTGCTGGAGCGCAAGACTGCGACGGTGTGCACGCTGCTCAAGGCGAGTGTGTATAGTATTGTGTTGCAGCAGCAGATGATCAATGAGAGTGAGGAGCAGCAGCAGCAGCAGCAGCAGTACGCGGAGGCGCAGGATGAGCAGTTCCAGGGGCAGGGGGTGGGATATGAAGGGGATGTTAGCCTTATGGGGAGGTATGCGTGAATCAAGTATTGACAGAATTCAATGTGTATGGACATGGGAATGGGTTTGCATGGACTGCATGGGCGGCATTGGTTAACCTGTATGATTTATTCTGGATGCGTTATGGCGGCTTATTTGTTTCATAGATTCGACGGGTTCATGACAATATGGCGCGGAGTTTAGTTTCATGGAATAGACTGGTTCTGATAATATGGCAGTGGCTTGGTACAAGTACATGGTAAGAAGACATGGAGAGTAAAGGAAGCCCAAAACAATTATATACACCGCCGTAACGCAGCAAGCATTGAGTGAGAATGCCGCTCAAATTGTGTCCGTAATCATACAGCCGACTCTATGCATGATGAAGACCCGTCAAGATGTCCCTCCGTGTCACTAAGTAGCAGAACCAAAAGACAGCATTCGTGGGTGAAGATAGTGGTGCATCAAACGAAATTGCACGAGATAGATCAGGCTCTTCCCGAGTAGTAGACTTTGCGCACATCGACCAGCTTCTTGCCCCGGGCCCGAGCGATGTCTTCCGGGTTGCGCTGGCTCATCAGAGCCTCGTAGGCGGCCTTGACTGTGTTCATGGGATTTCTTGAGCGGGCCACCCGAGCGGCAAGGTCGTGAATGCCACAGGCACGGCACATTTCAAAGATCAGATGCTGGCAACGGAGACCGAATCCTAGTACGGCAATCGTCAGCTACTGTGCGGCTACTAATATCATCAAGAATTAAAGTCTTACCTGGAGGGCGGGTCATCAATTTCAACTCAACAGCTCCCACCTTGCCCTCGACATCCCCGAAGATGGTCCGGTCCTCGTAACGAGGAATGGGCTGCATGTTTCGAATAGCTCTGTATCTGGACTGCGTCTGAGCATCGGCCGGTTCTTCTGACTTGGCTTCGCCAATTCCGAGCAAACCGTTGCCATTACCAGCAATCGACAAGCAGTACTGACGACGGACCTTACCCAAGCGGGTCTGGTTGACAACCGCGTGGGAAACGAGCGTCTTCGTCCTAAGATCCTGAATCTCCCTTTGTGAATACCCGGTAGTCAAAAGGAGCTGCTTCAATGCATCTGTAATCTCCTCTGACTCTCTGGCCTTCGGGTCTGTCTCCTTGAAGAAATTGATCTCCTTCCGCTCCCCGCTGATGGACTCTCCAGGAGCAAGCAGATCGGGAACCAAAGCGCTGTGGGGGTTCAACTCGTTCTCCTCCTTGCCATGGGTCATACGAAGAGTCTCCGCGAACCGTACCCAGTCGGCCGCGGTGGGGTCTCTGGGAAGCTCTGCGAGGAAACGGCCAAAATCCTCTGCGAAGTCGCTCTCGCTTTTCAGTTCGGCATTGTAATCGGTGTTGGTCACGGGGGCCCGGACGTGCTTGTCTACCCCGGGTTCGATGGTCGAGAAATCATCCAGATAGTGAAGCTTCATCGGGTCCCGACGGATGGCAAACTGCTCTGCTAGATCCTTGGGATCGATTGCCGCCTCACCAGCTTCAATTGCGGCGATCTGCTCGGGCGTATACTCCTCCTGCAGCCGTGCTTTCTCCTCTTCTGTGTAGGGCTTGAAATCCTCCGGCTTAACGGACCGGGAGATCTCCTCTAAGGACTTCAAATTATCGGCCCTGACATTGGGAAATTTCGGTTTCCGGTTGGCGAGCTGCGCTGGGGAAGGATGAAATTGACGGCGAGGCACGCGAGGGACCGCGGAGGCAGGCCGAGAGAAGCTGCAAAACAGACATCTAACCGGCCGGGCGACACTCATTGTGACGGAATGCAGCTCTCTGGCGAGGAGCGAGGAGATGTCGCGGAATTGGCGATATAGATGGGCCGCGAGAGGGAGTAAGTGAGAGATGGACAGAAGGGAACAATCGACGGAACGGTGAAATTCTCAGCGGAGAGCCTCCAGCCAATCCGCGTCCCGCCCTTTTCGCTGACTTCTTTTTCCTCCGCCATTTTTTTGGACCTCTCCATCCAGTGTCCTATTTTACAGCTCTTGACGGATCACCTCCGTTTCTGCTCGAAAGTTCTGGCTTCATGTTCGCTGTGAGATCACTTTTCTCACTGTCTCTGAAGAATCGGCTTTTTACTACGCAACCTAGTCGTTTTGCGCATTCCAACAGAGCTCACTTTCCTCGTATCTTGCCGCATCGCAATGCGCCATTGCCTATAAACGCCATGCAGAGCTCTTCCAGAAAACCTCAGACGGACGCGAAGCGGCGCAAGAAGGACAGAGCCGACCGGACGAAGAATTCCGGATTTGACGAAGTCCTGCAGACCGACATTGATAGCCTTCTTCAGAAGAATAAAACCGAGGCAGAAAACGATGCTTCCACCTCATCACCCGCATTACCAGAGCTCTTCACAGAGATTGAAGTAACAGTGTCGGAGCTATCTTCCACTGGAGATGGTCTCGCGCTCTCCGAAAACAAGGATCATGTCTACGTCGTCCCCTTCACTGTCCCAGGCGACGGGGTGCTTGTCAAGGTCGTCCGGCATCACGAACCTTTATCCCACAGTTTGACGGACTTTATCAAGGTGCTTGAACCAGGGCCGCAGCGCAATGATGCCGCGATTGGATGCGGGTACTTTGGCAGGTGCTCCGGATGTCAGCTGCAGATGATGTCTTATGAAGACCAGCTGGCGCACAAGAAGCGTATCGTCGAGAAGGCGTATGCCAACTTCTCGGGCCTCATTCCCGAGCTGATCCCCGCCGTTGACGGCACTTTCCCTTCGCCTTTGCAATACGGATACCGGACCAAGTTGACACCGCACTTTACAGCTCCTGGGGGCCACAGCGCAGCTAAAAGAAGGAAGTCGGGCGAGGTTCCAACTGAAGTGCCTCCCATCGGATTCACATATAAGAACCGGCGCATGGATATGGACATTGAGGATTGTCCGTTAGGAACAGACATTGTGCGGCGAGGCCTCAAAAGTGAAAGAAAGAGGGTTGCCCAGAACCTCCACAAATATACTAAAAAGGGTGCAACGCTTCTGATGCGCGAGTCTACCAGGCGCATCCCGAAGGACTCGGCCGAGACAGAGGCCAGCGCCGTACAGAAAGAGGGCGAGAACCCACCAGAATCAGAGTCCGGCGATGTCATTCGCATAGAACGCGATAGCTACATCGAAGAGAAGCGATGCGTGACCGACAACAACGCCACCTCGGTTGAATACATCGACGACTACATCTTCACCAACAAAGCCGGCGCTTTCTTCCAGAACAACAACTCCATCCTCTCCGGGTTCACAGAGTACATCCGCCAGCACGCGTTCCCCAAAGACAACGAACAAGATCCCAACCCGATCAAGTACCTCCTCGACGCCTACTCCGGCTCCGGTCTCTTCACCATCACCCTGTCTCCCCTCTTCAAATCGAGCCTCGGCGTAGATGTAGCAGCCGACTCGATCGTGTCCGCCCGCGAGAACGCCCGCGCCAACAACCTCCCCAATACCGGCTTTGCCGCCGCAGACGCCGCCACCCTCTTCAAGAACGTCCCATACCCGGCGGAACAGACCCTACTCGTCATTGACCCGCCGCGTAAAGGGTGCAGCGATGATTTCCTCCGTCAACTGCTGACCTACGGTCCCCGACGGGTTGTATATGTCAGCTGCAACGTGCACACTCAGGCGCGCGATGTGGCGGTCATGGTTCAAGGAGATACGAACTCGAGATATGAGATTGAGAGTATTCGAGGATTCGACTTCTTCCCGCAGACAGGACATGTGGAGGGAGTCGCGGTTTTGAATAAGGTGCCGGTCACTGCGTCTTAGTATCTGCTTTTGTACCAATATAAAAGCAATTAAATGTCAGGGAAGCTATACACATCCATGCACGGTTTAGGCGGCGTTAAGGTGCGAGACGAAAAGTTCAAGCAGTCTGTCGGGCGATATTGATCCCATTTGCATATATGTACAATGTGCTTGTTGTTTACACTGCCATTCGGCCGTCGGATTTTCGGCGCACGCACCCAACCTCCTGAACTCTGTAAAGGCAGCCGTGTCAAAGAATGATCTAAATTTTCATGACAGAAGAATAACTATAGACATAGACTGACACAGGGCTAGCAGACACAAGTTTCAAGCAATTAAATCCGTTATTGGTTTACCTTAGGTGCTTCCGGGACCACCCAGGAGGGCAAATCGGCGGACAATGCTGGGACCAATCTCATCATACTCTGCCTTGGTGTGGCAGTAGCTCCGGAATTCAGGGGTCTGTCCTAGCAGACTACCACCAAACCAAGGGCCGTGTCTCTGTCTCTTGTGTGTCACAACAGCCACGTCCAAACCACCACTCTTAGCACCACCGCTGCGAGCTTCCGAGGCGCGAATACGAGCATCTACCAGGTGTCGAATATCGCGCTGTAAACGACGGCCAAAGTCCTTGTACAAGGTCGATCCACCAGACAAGACGATATTCTTGTAAAGACCTCTCCGGACATCGATGGGCGAGGACTGAATGACACCATCAACGACTTGAGGCAAGGGAGTCAGGAAGTCGGAAGAGTAGATTTCAGGGTTGAAGAAGATCTCTGGGGCAAGAAAGCGCTCGTAGCCGACATCGATGGTCACACTCCGGCCGTTAGGCGAGGTCACGGTATGCTTCAGAAACCGATCGGGTTCGCGGTCATAGCGGGCAAACTCCTTGACGATGTCAGGGCACACGTAACAGTACTCCTCCTTGACCCGCTCTGCCGTCTTCAAGCTGCTATCCGGCTCGCCTCGGTCGCGCAGCAAGCTCTGTACGAAGTAGGTAATGTCTCGACCAGCGATTGGGATACTCTTGATGGATGACCCGATGACGTAGCCTTCCGCGACAGGAATGACATGGGTAACACCATCACCAGAGTCGATGACTGTTCCAGTAAGGGATCGATCGGTCACTTTAGAGGATGTCCATGAAGCAGCGAGGGCAAGCACCGCTTGAACGGCAATATAAAGACCAGCACAGTTGAATGACTCGAACATGATCTCTGCGGTGTTCTCGCGGTTCTCGGGAGGATTCAGGGGCTGAAATGAAGCACATGTCAGTATGATTTCGAAAGGACAAAATAACATGATGCAGTCCGTCAAGTCTCATGAGCGTACCGGTTCAGTAAGCAGGAAGTAGTGATCTTCGGGCTCGACGCGCAAGTACTTAAAGATCGAATTGGACCAGAAACGTTCCATAGCATCCCAGTTTTCAATCTGTCCGTGGCGAATCGGGTAGTTGATGCCGTAGCCAGGTCCATTGGCAGCCGCCAGAGCTTCATCGCCGATAAAGAAATCCAAATCCTCAGTTCCACGCTTTCCCGACAAGTTCGAGCTTGACCCAGAGCCTGCCCCCAGAAACGATGGCTTATTCGCAACAGGTGGTCGGCCACTCGCAGAACCGCCCGCGCTTCCGGCGCCTACCTTGCTGGCAATCGCAGTAGGGAAGACAAAAGAGGGTGAATCGTTACCGGCGAAACCTAGGATTGTGTCAGCCTAATGCTTGGTGAATGCCAGGTAGCCACGAGTCGGGTGGAAGCTCACCAAGTTTGGAGTAACCGGTACCGCTGAGCACGACAAGATACCGTCATTAGCCGAATACAAGAAGATTATAGCAGATACATCAACATACTTGTCCATGACAACGGCCGGAGTCTGGGACGCCATGACGGATTGGAATGTCCCCTATTGACAGGCCACGATAGGATGAAGTGGAACCGCTGAAGCCGGGCCGAAGCCTGATATATCAAAGATTGAAGAAGGTTCGAGTGATCAATTGGTTGAGTGAAAGGGATGGTGTAGGAAGCACCGAGGAATAATAATAGTGGTGGAGGAAGAGGAGGATGAGGGGGAGGTGAAGGCGGGCAGTAACAGTACTACTCGCAGCCGTAAGGTAAGGTAAGGTAGGTACTTAGGTACCTCGCGCATGGAGCAGACCAACTATGGAGATCCAATACGTAGTTGCCAAGCCATGTCATGTGCTCTCCACAAATCTCATAGTTGCAGGCTATCTATTATTGCACTGAAGATCTAGAGATACTCAGTGTTTATTAACTATGGATCAAAAACTATCATGATAGTACAGAGCATTGTATATCAGTGTAATCAGGCATCAAGGCGGTGACAGAAGACACCTGAGGTTCCTGCTGCTCTCTCAGAAGATGTTCTTCTTCCTAAAAGGGAAGGTGCTCCAGCTTCTTCTCCAGCTTTAATCGATGGACTTTGTATGTCGTCCACCCTGCTCTGCTGTTTGTTCCCTCATGAATATCCTATTCATTCCTATCCACTCTCCATATTTATTCTTTCAACTTCTGGCTTTGGAGTCTGCTCCTCATGTTTCCTCATACCAGTATCCGCTCGTTTGTCATAGCCTTATCCCATCAATTTCCCTCCTCTCCGATATACCTCCCTCCCACTCATTCCTCTGAGCAGAAGAAAGCTCTTTTTGTATTATTACTCTCTCTCTATTAAGATATTCTCTCCCTCATTCTCATAGCAAAAAAGGAAAACGGAAGGGGACCGAAGTGGTGGACGTCGTGCTCTACTGCTTTGCTCATTAGCTTGCTCTTGCTCTGTGCTCTTCGTTTCGAGATGCTAGCCACTCGACAACAGTGAATATCAATTGCGCTACCGCCTCCTGTGTGTTTTTGTTTTGGGGCTCAACTCGCGTTCTGCACCGCTGTCTTCTGGCCTCAACCTCTATCCACAGTCACAACAGCTGGTTGTAGCTGGCTGCAGCTTCAGGATACTCACCTCTTCTATCCTCAATTGAAGCCTCTTATCTTCAATATGAGCGAACCACAAAGAGGGGGAGGTATCTCTGCCATCTTCGTCCATGTAGGGGCGGGATATCACGGCCATGGAAATGAGAGAGCTCACCTTCAAGTATGCGAAAAGTAAGCCTTCCCTCCGCCTGCGGATCCATGATCTACCTCATTCATGTATCAGCTTTGTCCCCGGTCTGACTGCCAATAGCGCTTGCAAAGCCGCAATGGGCATTTTGAAAAGCGGTGGATCAGCACTGGATGCCGTTGAGATGGCCATCATTGTAATGGAGGATGACGAGATGACAAATGCTGGCTATGGAAGCAACCTGACGATTGAAGGAGCTGTCGAATGTGATGCTACTATTGTCGACCACCATGGCAGGAGCGGCGCAGCTGGAGCCGTCTCGCGTGAGTTTTTCTCCTTTCTTCTCAGCTTTACGACCACCTGTTTTTGTGTTATTTATTGGACTGTCCGCCATCCCAATCAGGGCCTTATTGCTGATGTCTTTGGTCTACTTCAAGAGGTTAAAAACCCCATCTCTCTAGCGCGAATGCTACTTGAAACCTCTGCAAAGCCTTTAACTTGCCACAGAGTGCCTCCAAGTTTCCTTGTTGGTGAGGGTGCAACGGACTTTGCTTATGAGCAAGGATTGGTCATACTGCCTCCTGACGGTCTCATATCGCGCTATTCGAAAGAGAGATGGCACCGCTGGCTGCAGGATCTCGAGGCTGCTGAACTGGTTGAGCGGAAACGGGATCCTTCACGTTTTCGTATGGAAGAAGATAGAGCATCCTTCCTTCGTCGGCCAATGCTGAATCGTAATCCAGCCCGCCTCATTGACAATACTCGTTTACGCCCACATCTACCCAACTCTCCCTTTACCGGTGTCGACTTGCTGAACCCTCTTCCTCGTCCCCAGGCTCCTGCAGGTGGACAAAGTAGAGCCCCTGCACCACCAACTATGGCCCCGAACCATGGACACGGCATGGGTCCTGCAAGTGGACAACCTATGGCTGTGGCGGGTGGGCAAAGTATGGCTCCTGCACCTGAGCAAGGTATGGCTGCCCCAGCCAACACCCGTGCAGATGGTGCGTCTTCCCGCGCGAACCCTACAACAGCACCTTGTGCCCCTGGCACTACTTCCGTGAATGCTCACCCAGGCGCTGCAGATGAGGATGAAGATATGATCAGCGATACAGTCGGGGCTATAGCTGTAGACTGTTATGGCAATATTGCAGCAGGTTCTTCCTCTGGCGGCATTGGCGCGAAGCATCGCGGTCGAATTGGGCCTGCCGCGCTGGTGGGCATCGGCACTTATGTGATCCCTGTGGACCCCAGCGATGCCGAACAGGTGTCAGTCGCTTCGATTACATCGGGCACAGGCGAGCACATTGCTACAACTATGGCTGCGCAGACGTCAGCTGCGAGACTCTATTATTGTCAAAGGAAGCGTAATGACGGCACTTTCGAGAACGTATCCGAAGACGAAGCTATGAATGCGACGATAGCCACTGAGTTCATGGGTGAGTTATTGTACTCCCTATCCGTTACGACCATTGTTAGAGAACAAATCGTTTACAATTGGCGCAGAGCATCCCGGTGTGAAAGCGAGCCCTTGTGGAGGCGCTATCGGAATCTTGGCTGTCAAGAAGACGAAGGACGGAATTTTCTTCTACTTTGGTCATAATTCTGATTCTTTTGTGAGTACTCTGTACAAGTTTGGTCTTCTGGAGAACCTGTACACTGAACTCGCATTATCTTCTAGGCTCTCGCCTCCATGAGTAGTGAGGATAGGAAGCCGCTGTCTGTGATGTCTCGCAACCAGGGAAATTCGACTATTGCTCAAGGTGGCCGCGCCTATCGGGCCAGAAGATAAGGTATATGATTGACGGCTCTTATGATCGACAGCCACGTTGGCGCTGACTCGAATACATCATTGACTTGCGCTTTGTAGCCACGGCAATGGATCAGAGCATCACTGGCGTAAGATTATCTCTAGAGAAATGAGTCCTGTTGATGCTGCACTCGAATGCCGACTGCAATTGCCCCTCCAGTTCGCCGGACCGAATACGTGATATTACACGCCAAGTCTTGTCGCAATACCAGATACGAGTGAATTGACCGTCTAGGATTGTCTCACGATTGCCTTTGGACCTTTGCCTTTCTCGCATAGCCGTTTCGGAGACTCGCTGTTTGCATACCACGTCTATGGGTGGCACCCTTACTGCCGTTAGAATGCTCCCTCTGCGATCTTCTTGCGCTGGTATTCTTTCAGGTTGTAGTATGGCCAACTTTGGTGGGTTGGGGTCTCCTTTGGCTATCCTCACAATTCCTGGCAGGTGCCCAAGACCGAAATCTGCTCTCTGCACCGGCTTTCGGGGCCGAAATACCTTTGAAATAGGCAGCATAATGCAAAGCAAGAGCTTCGAGCAAATAGTCCAACATATGCCGTTTAAAAACTGACTTTTCCTGGTAGTAAATGATTGCACTTCGAACGGTGGAGGTTTTCAAGGGCCCGGTGTAGGTGTAGATGTGGGAGTCGCTGTCCCTGACGCACCGTTGGTGCGAACCTTCTTCTTCTTCTTCTTTCGAGCAACAACCGCCGGCTTGGCACCGTAGTCACCCATCTCGAGATGGGTGCCACAAGTAAGGCAGTCGCCGTTTTCAGGAGGTTCACAGAAGATGCTCAAGCAGATTGAACAAACAAAGCCAATATCGACGACACGGCGATGGCAGAAGCAAGCGGCACGGAAGTCAACGTCGACGCGCGTTGGCTGGACCAAGTGTCTCCGAGAGCGCTGGTCAGGTAGGAACGCCATCATCAAGTACTGTAGTAGGCCGCGAGGCTCGGAGAGCGACATGTAAACCCCCTTGGTGGCATCGGACGCCTGCTGCAGGAACACCGCATCCCCGCTCAGCTTGCAGACATCGATGGGGATATGGAGCCGCTGACAGGCAAAGATACAATTCATGATCGGGATGTACTGATGTGCCGAATCCGTCGAACCACTCACGGAGATGATCAGAATCCGCGACTGCAGACCCTCAGCCCCAGGCTCCGTGGCAGCCCTACCAGCCCCGGAGCTGCCCGCATCGGCCGCCCCCGTCGGCCCAGCAGCGGTTCCTCCATGCGCCTCCGCCCACGCAATCGACCGCCGGTTGATATGGCTCAGGGCCAGCGTCAGCCCCCCCGCCATCATCGTCGAGGTGGTGGCCGCGACATCGGCGCCGCTGGTCGAGTCCATGAGTTCTCGCAGGTTGCGGGTGACTTGCTCTTCGACGATCCGAAAGGGGCGGTACTTGTTCACCTGGGCCGCAGCAGATCCTGCGCCGGACCCGTTCATGGCGACATCGCCGTCTTCATCTCTCCCTGTTTCGTTCTTATTCTTGCTTTTGCTCTTTCCCTTGTCCTTTTTGATCTCGCATGGGTACAGCCACGTCGCTTTTTGGCTGTGCGATGCGACGAGCGCGACTTCGTTAGCGTAGTTGCAGGCGAGGTGGGCGTTGACGAAGACGAGGATGTTGGCTATCGCGGTGGAGAGCGGGAGGGAGTCTTCCAGGAGAGCCCACGCATGGGGGTTTGTATCGAGGACGATCGTCAGCAGGGACGGGGCGGGATCTTGATATTGAGTCAGTCGTTCAGTAAGCTAGATATTCTATCATTTTGCGGAGCTGCCTCCGGGATCTTACCGCTGGCGCTTGTTTCGTAGTGCTCCGTCGCATCTACGGCGTTCATTTTTCTGCTTTGAGTTGGGAGATGGGTGGAGGGAGGTATCGATGTAGCTGCGATGAAGGCAATGCGCTGAAATAATAACTGGATCGATCACAGCATGGTGAGGGCCAGGCAATGTCGGCAGTGGGAGCTAGAGCTCAGATCGAACCAATTGATGCTTGTCTTCAACGTTCCAAAGACCGAATGTGGACACCGCTGGAAATGGAATAAGCCTTGCCTGGTTAGTATGTCGTAGCAGAAAATCCAGGGTGTAGATTATTATCAGTGTTTTCTGGGTGAGCTGGTGGTGATGAGGATGAGATGAATAGAAAAGCTAGTCACGTGGGATGAAGCAGTTCAAAGGCACTCCACCGCCTTCTTGCTGTCACAGGATGGTTCAGTTAGCAGGACAAGGGAGGGGATTTTCCATTATATAGTGAAAATTTGTAGATGATCTTTGCTTTTCTAAAAGTTGTCAGGATTTACTACTATTAAGTTCTTCACTCGTACTGCTGTTTTGTAACAGGTTCTACCACATGGTCTAGAGATTATACCATCAAGAATCACAAAATGCAAGATACACACTTTCCATCACCTAGCATCTCGTCAAGTGACAGGAGGTGGATAATGCTTTGAAGAAGCAGACATGGAAACGCGAATTTGACCACTCGGACATGTACAGGTGCAGACAAGATCATCACCAATGACGAAAGTAATGTGTAGCCCGAAGTATTTTGACCTGACGCTGAGGCAAAAGCCGCACAGCTGATGCAATGTTTGAATAAACAAAATGTTTCACTGGGGATTGAGTACAGCCTGCGGTTTCACATGGAGGTGGTCATCCTTCTGTTCAGTTTGTTCAAGGACAGGTATCTGGATAGACTCCTTCAGTGCCTCGCGATTGGGTTCAGCCAGCGGGCTTGGCTGCGCAGATGGGGCCGGAGTGTCGCCTTTAGCTTGATGCTCCGTGAGACCTTTACGGATGGCGAGAACGGAGTCGACGATCACTGCATCAATTCCCTCGGCGACTTGGAGCTATGCGGAGTTTAGTACAGATCGAGAAGCCACGAGTGGATAGCATTGAGGCCTTACCTTGACGTTTGCTGGCTCGTTGTTCAGCGTTCCGTAAGATACGCAGACAAGACCAGACTCCTTCACGACGCGGACCAGACGCGGACACAGAACCAGTGGTTCAGCCTGGGAGACGACGCCCAGTAAGCTCCAGCGAGAAGCAAACCGAACAGCTTCCTGCAGACTGCTGGCTCGGATGTCGCCTACCGGAGACGCACCAGAGTCGGTCAGGAAGAGCACAGGGATGGATGGTTGCTTGAAAGCGATCAAAAGACAGATATCGGGGTTGAAGCTAGAAAAGATCATGTTGCGCCCCTCGCCGTGATCATAGGCCATTTTGAGAACCGTATCCACGAAGGAATTCAGCTCGACGGCGTAGGTATCCATCTCCTCCTCCTCGCTCTCAAAGAGCATGGGGTATTCTGGCGATCTTGGTCAGATCGTCTTGTAACTGTTCTTCAGGGGGGTTGCTAAAACTCACTGAGTTCAATATTGAATCCAACGGACTTCGGCAGCTTCTTGAATAGCTCCTCCAACGTTGCAAAGGGAGCTTGGATGTGATTGCCGCGGGTGTTACCTTTGAACCCCTTCTTCTTGAAATCCCGCGTGTGTTTGATTCGCTCGTTCAGCTCTGTAGTGTCAAATTCGAAGTCGCCAACGGACATTGATCGCGGACGGAAGCTGGGACTGCCCATCTTCTTTCCGGTAGCGTCAGGCGACTGATACGGAGAGGTGGACCGGCGAGACACGCCACTCTCCCCAAGCTGAAGGAATTGCTCAAGTGTCAGAGTATGAACGGGGGCATCGATTCCCGTTTCGCTGACAAGGAAATCATGATAGATGACAGGAACATGGTCTTTCGTGAGCTGGACATCGAACTCGACGTAGGATGCTCCCAAATTGGCAGCCGCAATAAACGACGGCAGAGTGTTTTCTCCTAACTGTAAGGATCGGCGACTGGCCAAATTCTTCCCTAAACCGCGATGTCCGATGACCATGGTCGAGCTCATGCTCTTATAGTATGTCCTGTTGCCAGTAATCGACATATTCGGATGCTTGAAAGGCGTAACGATAAGGAAGTTGAATGTCACGGAGCCAATGACTTCCAAAGTGTTGGCAGCCATGATGGGAACCGTGGAGTCACCTTTGAGATTGATACGGTGAGATCCGATCGTCGGCTTAACGCTCGAAAGCAGAGCAACGCCGCGTCCTACAATCTGATCCTTTGTGCCAGCATATGTGGGGATAAGATCAAACAGCAGCCTGACCTTGCTTGGGTCTGCGGCATGGAAGACGATCGGTTCCGTAGAGATGTTATCTTGAACCGGAAGATCAATGATCTCGGGCTCTCCTTCAGCTCCATTGGCCGATACGACGATGGACAGGGCGGTATCCAATTGAGTAGAATGAGCGTTGACCATAGGAATACGGTCAAGATTCACTGCTTCCATGTGCTTTCGTATGTCCATGGTGCCCAGGCTGACCAGAATCATGGCCTTGTCGGTGAGATACCGATGTCCAAAAGTTTTAATAGGTTCAGTGCTCCGCGGCGCAGGACTCCCGCGTGGGCTAACATTAGATCGTCTCTCGGTAAGGGAAGATTGCGAAGTTGGGGACGATTGGATAGAAGTCACCGAAGGAACAGGTATCGCAGGCTCGGCTTCCGTTACTTCAGGTTCGGGCGTCACTTGTGCCAGACGTCTCGCAATATCAAGATGACCTCTCAATGCAGCATGTTCCTTGGCACTCCAGCCTGAAGAGTCGAGTCTCTCGAGATCGGCGCCAGCTTGAATGAGCAACTCTACAACGCCCAAAGACCCATCGACGCAGGCAACGAAAAGCGGCGTCCAAGAATAAGTATTTTCCGTAAGCTCAGTGTCCGCCTTCTGATCGTCAGTGCCCTCAAGCAAAATCTTTGCGCACGCATCGTGACCAAAACGAGCGGCCACATGCAGCGCGGTTTCGCCCTGGTCATCCTGGTAGTTGATGTCGACTCCAGCATCCACAAGGAGTTGCACTATATCGACGAAATTTGCCTTGGTGGCTAATGCCAAGACCGCGCTGGATTTCGACACGTGCTTCCGTATGGCAGCTTTTTTCTCAGAAGCACCTTGCCAGTTCTCCGCCTCCAATAGTGCCCGTGTCGTCAGCGGGTGACCGCCAACAACACTCAAGTGCAAGGGAGCCCAGCCATCGTTATCCTGCCACTGCGGTGCATCAATGCCTTCACGAACATCAAACATATCCCAACCCTGCAGGTGTTCAATGATGACCTCGCATACCACTTTGAACCCATACTGTGCACCATAATGCAGAGGGGTGCGTCCAGAAAGGTCTTTGGCTAGCAATGCGCCGCGCTGATGGGGCTGGAGTTCGTCCAGAATAAACTGCAAAAGTGAAACCGAAGGGTCGTCTCTGTCCAGAAGCTGGGGATGATTCGTCTCTTTTACCACTGGCCGAGGTGGCTGCATGGTCGGAGGAGCAGCGGGGGTGATGTAATGAGAAGTTTCCAGCGAAAAATCAAGCACCATCGAGGCGGACGACTCTGAGTCAGTGGACGACTGCGCTCGTCCGATAGAAATAACCAAACGATGGATACAATTGCGCTTATTGATGTCGTCCTCCTCGTCGAGCGAGTCGATTCGACCAAGGAGGACTGAAATGCACGCCTTGGAACGATAGTAAATGGACCGCTGAAGAAGACTTTTCAAAACCTTAGGATAGACCGTTTCTCCGATATCATCCGCAGCTGCCTTCAGCGTCTCCATTAGTTCCAGGAGGACATGTGTGTCATCCTTGCGCAAAGCGTCGTCAACCTCACTAAGCATGCTCGGGGGCAGATTGAGATTGGGCCGCGAAGGTCCTTTCTTCAAGGAAAGCGAGGATCGCGTAGAGCTTGCATCGTCGAAGACCTTCTGGTCTCCAAGCACGGAAAGCCACTCGTTGATTTTCTTGAGAGACTCGGTGACTCGGGCGTTAGAGGCGAAAGGCGACGGATCCACTTTAGTCTCCAGGTATGTCTGTTGCGCCGTGACGCCGACCTTCTTATCAAGCTTCTTGGTAATTTTGACAAATCCACGACGGTTGACTTCGCCATACCACTGCAGCTTGCGTAGTTGACCACGCAGTTCGAGCAACGCCGCCAGAAGATCCTCCACATCCTCCGAATCGAGCTGATGCCCTTTATGCAGGGAATGGCCGTATCGCTCTTCCAGCAACTTCAAGCGACGGGAAAAGTCCGCAAATTTTTTGTTGTAGAAGTAATCGACATCCTCGAGATTTCGATCGAGAGAGTAGAAGAATTCTGCATGATATCTTCATGTTAGTAGGCCGCTTCGCCTTGCGGCGCATGGCACGGAGACAGAAACCCACCCGCAAGATCCGCTTCACGGCCAGCTTTCACCTCCTCTGCCGCGGATTTGATCAGTTTCTTCAAGGCCTTGTACCTGATGTACGAAGTGCTCCATTCGGGAACGACATTTCGAGGCAAGTTGCGCCCAAACTTCATGATGAAAGGCTGCACTCGTAGCCTCAAAGTAGAGCCAAAAGCGTGCTTCGTCTGCTCGGAGAGATTGAGGTCCCTCGACAACCCGCAGGAGCGGATTTATGGAATCAGGAGGATAGGGGATAGAGAATAAGGAGTGTTAGGAAGGATAGCGAATGATTGGAACCCTCAAATAAACGAGCAAAGACAAGCAAGGAAAAGGGTACTGGAAGGTCTCGACAATAGCTCCATCTGTCAGTCTGTGCGAAGAACTGTGGGTTATGTATTTGGATGTTGTCTCGAAGAAGGGTAAGACCGAATACTCGCTCACTCCAGTGCGTCAAGGACTTATAGGTCGTGAATGCGGATGGGTAGCTTGCGATGTTCGAAACTTGTCTTTGGCGAACTATAACCTCGAGGGTTCCGAGTTAGCACGTGGTAAAACCGACCAGAAAGACGCGGTGAATAAAGCCGAGTGTAGGCGAGTGAGTGCAAGGAAGACCTTCAGAGGCACTGCTTGGAAGCAGACTGTACCTTTTTAGACAGTAGTGGAATTAGACCATTAAAACAGCTAGAGCGATCAGAATTTCAAACAATCGAGGGCAACGCTAACGATGAGAAATCTGCAATGTGGGTCATCCGGGAGACCGGTAAATGATAATACATAAAACACTCGGGAATAATAGCGGAGATGTCTCGATGATGATAGCAATAAGAAGAATGAAGGCACCTGGTGGGTAGAGAAAGGTGATCAACGAGTGAGAAATGACAGAGGAAGCACACCTTCGCGGAGTGATGGCGATTCTTTGACTGATCCTCAGCGGCGTGGGTATCAAAGGAACTGTGATTTGTCCGCCACGCCTGGTTGGTTCCAAGGGCGAGATGTCGGACACTCGGAGCCTCTGTCTGCATTGAGCCATGATTAGCCTCCTGTTATTGTTGTTGTGGTTGTTGCTGTCATCTTCGAGGGAGATTCTACGGTATTCTGGAGACGACACATACTCTGAAACTGCAGCAGTGGTGGCCAGTAGAACGTCAAGTAGAGGTCAGGAGTAACTTGAATATACCTTACTACACCACCAGCAACGTCTGTATGAGCTATACTTGTACGCCTCTAGTAATGAAAGAAGAGAATTGGAGCTTGCTTTGCAATACGGATTAAGGCCAACTATATATAACCTGTCAGACATTCTCGTCGGAAGCTCAAGGATGAATTCCCTAATGATGTATCTCCTCCGTATGTCGCGCCAGTCCCACTCGACTGTCCAGCGTCCAACAAGAGACGTGGGGAAGATTTACGCCCATCAGCTCCTCGTCGCCAATGGGAGATACAAGACAGAGAATCAGTCTCCATTTCTCAAAGCAAACCACGAATCAAAAGAAAAGTACGGAGCAGGTATGTATGCTCATTGCTCCCCCTCAATAATGATGGGAGATGATCATCCCTCGCTATGACTGTCAACCGGTTGCATGTGGCTTGTCCGCCCATGTTTTATTCCTGCAGTGGAGGGTGGGAGGGGAGGACGTTCTCTCCTGCAGCTATCTAGATATATCATTCCAGCTGAAATCAAACTATCAAAGCTCCTGCATGCCCCCGTAGGATTGACATCCGTCTGTCTGTATGTTAGTCTAGTACTTGACTTGATATTCGATGATGAGGATTGTCGGTGAGCCCCATCATGAGATAGTCTAGGTTCTGTGAGGTGATCATTTTGCTCTCCAGCCTCTCACCCCTGTTGGCATGGAGATGTCGCGGTTTGTAGGTACAGTTTCCCACTTGAAACCCTACGATGGAATCCTTATCAATCGCGATATACGGAGTATACTTCCAAGTCTCACAATACACCAATAATATCAACCTTATCCCCGTTCCTTCCCGTACATTTTAGAGTGCCTGTTCTCTATCCTTCGCTTCCATCATCCTATCCTATCTCCAACCCTGCCTGTAGTATAACCCTTTTCTCTCGCTTGCATCTCAGCCATCGTTCCCTCTTCCCCCCCCCCTCCTGATCTTCCGTCAGCCAACACCACAACCCCCAGCCGTCCCCCGCAAGCGATCAAAAAAATTATCGAATTCACCACCAGTGGACTCAAATCACTGAATGTCAAATAAGATATCTTCCGGTCTCCCGGTTATACCCCATCCCTTGTATTGTGATAGAGGGGTTGGGTTGTCAGTAGACAGTCCTCTCGATATCTACAAAATACTCCCTACTAGTACTATCAACAAAGCATAAACTACCGAATAAGAAAGAAAAGAGCTCTTCCCGAAAAGAGCAAAACAGAAACATGCCATACCATGTAGGGGCATCACGAGCCTCTTCCATCTCAGGAGGCTATTCTTCCAGCGCCACCGACTATTTGCATCCATTCCTCTATTAAATATTATCTAGACTATATACAGTTCATGTTATTGCGCAAAATCGATCAGCAAGTCACTTCCGGAGAGTATATGCGAGCGTGTGGCGAGGGTCAGATGACTCTCTACAGTAGACTACTGTCTCATCACCGTTGAACTTGACCCTTCCAGATGCCGTTCCTCACCGGACCCGCGCGTCTATTCGAAAGTTTGCCGAAGGTGCTGTTTTTGCTTTTTCTGCATACAAATGGTAACTTTGTGGGATGACTACTCAAGCTATGCCTATGAGACCCCGACCTTTACCTTCAGAATAAAGGGGCAAGTATGGATAGGGATGGCTTGACTTGACTGTGCACATGACGAATCTCGTGACCACTCCCCAGGTCAGTGCTTTGTTCCATTGAAAAAGAATCGAATCTCGATCAAAAGGAGTTCGAGCCGTGCAGACGGTGCAGTTAAAGTGTGGATTCGTATTGCAAATCGTGTCTATGGAGATTCTGTGAGACAACCTATGGAGAGAAAAAGTAGCCCCTAAAGTAAAACGCCGACTCCTCCCTAACGCTAAGTAAACAACAATAACATCCTCTGCTAAAAGATAAAGAAGATCGGAAGTAGTCGTTATTGAAGGACAGGAGCACAAACAGCTCAGCAGAAAGAGAAGAAAACGAAGTAGGGAATCACGCGAGTGGCTCAGAAAATGCCGGAAGCAAACCTCGGCAGACACAACCATTGAAACCTCGCCATACAGATGGCCCCTCCTTATATCCCAGTAACTCCATTGACTTCAACATGTTGCCGAGGAAAAAAAAACCCATTCGCGTCAGACAAAGATTGTGACGAGGCCTATTTGCTCTTGACCAGAGGTTTCAAAGCTTCTACTCCAGTCTGGAGTACCGCCGGGTTCGACGTCTTCTTCAGCACACTGGTCAGGATATCGACCCCTCCGCACTTCTCCACCATTTCTTTCGCACGCTTAGAGATGTCGCCAGTTGCCACGCAGGTCAGATTCCGAATACACGCAACCCCCCGATGCACAAGCCCTTCGTCGTCTTCTTTACAAAGACCCAGAAGTAGCTCCACGCCACGCGGCCGTTCGAGGATGCCCGCAATAGCAGCATCAAGCTCGGTAAGCATAGCTAGTGCACCACCGGCAGCTCTGCGTGTCTCCATGTCATCGGTGTCAGTGAGCGCCAGAAGAATGTGGAGCCGCTGAGCAGCCCGCTTGGAGCCATCAGCAAATTTCGCTACGCCAGACTCGCACGTCATCAAATTGCAAACTAGTTCACATGATGCTCGTTGAATCATAGGGCTGCTGGAGAGCAGGAGGTCTTCCACAACTGTCCATGCATGGCGCACTATGGCCTCCGCTGCAGACGGATCCGGGTAGGATGCAAGATTCGTTAGAGCGAGCAGGCCCTCGAACACAGGTAGCAAATCGCGCGGCTGTTCCGCAGTCAAGGTGCCTACCTCAGGCGTCGTCAACAGACTGGTCAGAGGTCGAACGGCTGAGGTGATCTGAGGGATTCCGGAGGATGGGAAAACGAGGGACGGGTTGACAGAGATAAGTATACGGGCGAGTGCATGTGAGGCGCTCTGCATCGCCTCGTCAGAAATCGAGCCGGACGTGCCTTGTCTAGCAGACCCCAGGCTGAGAAGTAGCTTAATCGCGCCTTGTTGCGCAAGAGTTCCTCTAGATTTGCGGTCTCGGGACAAAGAGAGCAGAATTTTGCTCACGAGCCCCTGGGCAGAAAGCAGACTGCTCTTGCTGCATTCTATGAAAAGAGGCATGACTCCGGCCTGAACTACCGCGTTGCAACGAGCGATGACGTGCTCGTCGTCGTCGAGCGGATGCGGCCCAGCTCGGGCTGTCGCGCCCGAAGCGTTTGCGTACGCTTTGAGTTGGGACATCTTCTTCTGTTCTTCGGTCATCGAGGGTAGAAACTGGGTGAGATTTAAAATGATCATCAGGCCACCATACAGCACCGATGCGTCGGCGATACTGCCTTTCAGCACCTTGATCAAGTCTTTCAAGAAGGCAGAATCCTTCGCAAGCTGCTCCTTTACGGCTGGCTTGATGGAAGAATAGGCCAAACCTTCCATTGCGTTCGGAACACTCTCGTCCTTATGCTGCGAGATCTGTTCCTTGAAGCGGTTGACCAGCTCCGCTGTCTGGCCGTCCTCCTCGTGATCTTTACCGTTGGACGTGGTGGGATGTTCTTTCTCAGAAGCCCGAACCTTCGCCAATATCACCGCTGCCAATTCTGAGCTCTGATCGTTCCCATTCGTCAAAAGGTGAGAGAGCCAATCGGACAGGTGCTTAGAAACAGCATCCCGACAGGCCTGATTTATGCAGGCTGCATTTAGCAGCTCCAGAATGGCCGCTTCCACGTTCCGGCTCTTCATATTCCTCGAGGTAAATGGTGTGAGAGAGCTAATGAAACTATCCGACAGGAACAGGGAAGCAGCAATATCTGGCACAACGGGGAAAACGGCAGCGAGGGCGGAAAATGCAACTATGTGATCGTCATTGCGTGCATTCTTCACTTTCGTGGAAAGAAGTCGCGAGAAACGGTCCTGTCCTGTTTCATTCGAAGTTTCGAGGTACTTGACTGTCGCGAGAGTTGCCTGGCTCCTCACCTCGAGAGGAAGTCGGATGTCCAAGGAG